GGTTCTTCTGGCGTTGGGGTGTTACATGACCGGTACCGGTGTCTCCAGGCCACTTTGTGGTGATGCTTTGGGAAGGCCCTTCTCCCTGTCCGCCAGTTCACCGAGCGCAGACAATTTTGGCCACTTGTGAAGGCTGGCCCAAAAGGGACACAGTGATGGATACTGCAGTTTTCACTCCGTGAATTACTGAATAATATCCAGTATTTCATCCAGAGCTCAGAATAGACGACTGTGTTCATCTAGCTTGATCTGCAGAGTGCAGGCAGGGGAAAATTGCCGAGTTGCAGAGGTCTGTGTATCCCTGGGTCAGTTGTTTTAAGTACTCAATTACTTGCAGCTTAAATCTGGAATTAGACACTTCTGATTTGGTGCAACGCTGACTTCCAGCCTCTAGAGTCCTCCTGGGCGTTTGCTGACAAGTCCTTTGCTATCAGATGTTCTTCCCTTATAGGTTTTTGAGACAGGTCATGTCACGTCTCCCCTCTTCTCAACAGATCCATCACTGAGAGGTGTTCTCTAAACCACGACTGATTCTTAGAGCAGTGGGATTCTTCATTCCCTTGCCAGATTTGTGGGCTTTTTTATTATTCGAAATATCCCAACTGTTGCAGTGCCCCTCTTCAGGTGAAGACCCCGGTGAGGACCGAGGCAGCCGTGACCTGGCGCGCGAGCGGCGTTGGACGGCGCCGATGGACCTGGCTCTGTGCCCTCTATACTGGCGAGCAGGAGCTCGGGGAGCTGCCTCTGCAAACCAGGAATGAACAAGGATGCTCCCTCGGCTCCCCGGCTGCTGCTTTACTGGCCGTTCTTCACAAATCAACGTGCTTTTAAAAGCAGTTAGCCCATCTGTAATAAGGGTTTGCAGGGCTTCAGCCTGGAGAGCTATAAGCAGCCACCTGCTTTAGTAAGCTCAGATCCATCACAGCAATGAAGTTAGCCCTTGCCATATTTGTCACTCAAGGTATAATATTGTTAATGAAGATCTGTTGCGTAAAGTCTTGCTGGTAGGGCATTATGCAACTTCCTTAATGCTTTATTGATAGATCCATGTATCGACCATGGTTATTTTTGTCAGGAAATACTAAGTTAGGTATTACTGTTTGTTTGAAATTTTGGCACAAAAATAGGAACTTTCTTTAGAGCTCTCTGTTCAGTTCTCATAGAGCTCTTAGGTAAGAGTTATCTGGTCTGATGATCTGAGTGTTTTCACTGCAAGACATATTATCTAACGTTTTCCTATTTCAAATGCTTTGTAACATCCAAAAGAGAAAAGAGGTAAATCCTCTAGCCTTTCAAAGTGTCAATCAATGTCCATTGACAAAAAAGCCTTAAGTCAGGTAGCCAAACAGTTGCTCTTCCTTTGCTTGAGGAAGGCAGTCACTGTGCATCCATGCTCTTCCATGGACAGTAGAGACTTCCCAAGTATCCACCTCATTGCGAGGGAGTAGCAAAAGGATTTCAGGTTTTGCTTTATTTTTACGGATCTAATTAAATATTTGCGGTAGCTTTTCATTTTTGCAGGTAGACCAGGTTCCCCCGTTGATGGTTAACTGAGTTAGGACACTTGTAACTGCACAGATCTTCTGTATCCTACAAAGAGCATCAGCGATATCCTTAATAACCCATATAGCGTCTCTGCTAGTCACTTGAGGTACTCGAGATGCTGTGAGAGATGAACACTCTGAGCTACCTGCTCTGGGAGAAGATGCCCTCCCTGCCCAGCCTCTCCTGGTACAAAGGAGAAGTCAGGTCTTGTGTTTTCCTCTCGTTGGATTTGTGGCCAGCGCTGTCTTCATGCTGGTCATGGACATTCAGAATGGCCCTCGGCAGAGCTGGCCGCTGCTTGGGAGTTCAGGGGCTGTCGGAGATGCCTGACTCTTGTGCCAAGGACTTTGCAGTCCTTGAACTCAGTCTTCCAGGAACAGCAGTTACTGAGTATTCTGGAGAGCATGGTGCCCAGTCCAAAATAATGAGTTTCCAGATGTCTGCTTGAGCAGTCACATCTTCTGAGGACGTGCAGGACTCTTCCACGCTGTCTCCTCTCTGCTTGGCTGAGCTGTGTTCCCACATACTTTCCGTGCTGCCAGATACGTGGCCAGAAAAGAGGCAGATTTTAGACTGAGCTGTGACCAGAGCCCACTGAGTGATGTGTGTATTAGATAGTCGTGGAATTAATTAAAAAAAAAAAAAGAGAGAGAGATTATGAAATGCAGTGGATCATTTCAGAGTTTGCCAAAACCAGTAAGGAAGCACAGATGCTTCTGAAAGTCCTGGGTGAATGAAAGGAGCGTGGTTTTCCTCCCGCAGGGCTGCCTTCTTCATTCTGGCAGCTGAAAGCTGCTGCAAAGGCTTCCCTGTCAAGGGAACAGTCGCAGAGATGCGCAGTGACGTTCCTTGCTTTCCCACCCAAACGGCATGGCAGTGTCTCCTGTTTGAGTCCAACCTTAGCGCTACTCCATCTGTTTTTTCAGAATGATATAAAACATGTCAAATGTCAGCATTCTGCTCTTTCCGTGGATCATTGTCATGGAGCTCCGATGCAGCAGGTGTAAAGTAAACAGGAGGAAATGCTTTTTAAAACAAAATGTTACATTGCAGAGCTTATTGCCATTGGAATCTGTGGAGGCCCAAGATAGAAAGTCCTTCTCTCCTGGTTGCCATTTGGTTGGATGAGGTGCTGAAGAAGAATCGTCTGCTGTCAGTGATGTTTCCTATGTTCTCTTTCCAGGTATCTGTTCTTGGTGTCAGTAGAAAACGGGCTATTTGAGTAGATGGACCTTTCACTGACTAACTACGGCAGTTCTTAGCTCTGCACAACCTTAGAAGATGTTTTGAGTTCTTCACTAGGACACATGAGCTGTTCTGCTGGGAGTTTCTGGCCAAGCTGATGAAAGCAAAGGGGAATTTGAACACGTAGGTTCACAGGAACACGCTGTGCTTCCAGCCAGAACTTGCAAGTGAGTGGTCTTACTGTGGACTCTTAGATCTTTCTTGTCCACATAACCTACCCCAAAGACGTAACAATATTTTGGAGTTGATTCAATCAGCAGAATGCTTGTTCTCTTCAAGAATGTTGCGCTTGTCGGTGTTGTTGCTGTTAGGTTTATCGTAGTCTTGCCTTGCATTGTAATGCTCTTGTGGCCAAAGCTTGGAAGCAGTGCCAAGATCCGTGTCGCTGAGCCTGGATGCTTTGGGTCTGGCTGTAGAGCACGTGTGAGCAGAATGGCAGGTCCCCATCCCGGTACTTTCCGGGGCTGTTGCTTGCATGTCCCATAGCAGGGAATACCAATGTGTTCCCGGGGTCCCTTTCTGCCGAATGAAGACTAGACCAGGGAAAGTGGCCAAGACTGCAGGAGTGTGATCGACCTCTGTGGATCCAACCTCTGCAGCCTTGTGCAGGGAGGCGTTTGAGGAGTGTCTCTGTCCTCTATTACATACACATATAAATACACATTCCCTAGTCATCCGAGTCGCTTGGCCCTTCTGCTGCTTTTTGTTGTAAGCTCTGCTGTCTTTCCATAGAGGCGTGGAAACTTGGCTGAGGTATTTCTTTTAAGAAGGTATTGTTTCATGTCCAGAGAAGCAGAAAAACATGTTTATCATCTTGAAGGGATTCGCACCTGCTTTCTAGCCTTTACAGCTTCTTTCAGATGCCTTTTTTCACTTTCTCTTTGTTCTCTTTCACTCCCTTTGCCGCCCTGAAACACATACGAGCTATCACCTTGCTGGGGAGGGTTATGCCCATAGTAAGCCCCATGGCTTGAACTACTGAGCAGTCTACTTTAGGGCTCAAAGCAACCAAATTTAGCCATAGTGTGACTCTTAACATGGAAGTGGGGTGGTGCTACAGCTTTCGACTCTGGTGTCTCCCCTGTAGTGCCTAGTTACAACCTAATTTGCAGACCTGATGCTCCAACATGTCTTATTCTGCCTGACCACTTACAGACTCCAACTCCTGCTTCTTTCCCCTCTTCACATTTTCACCCTTTCTCTGCAGGGATGTAACTAACTCATGATTAGCCAATACAGATATGAGGGCTTTTTTGCCTCACCTCATGGTCTTGCCCTTTCCAGCGTTTGATAATGTTGACCTCCCTTGGACGTGAGGAGCTGAGCTGTGATTTTGTCCCTCTGATGTTAGCAGTCAGTGTCACCTCTTTCTGTGCGAGTGCTCTGTGCAGTGCAAAGCCTCATTGGTCTTTTTTTTTCCCCTGAGCATTGCACACTTAAGATTATTTTGCTGCCTTTGCTTCCTCTCAAAGCTACTTTTAACATCATGGGCTTTCCTATCTTTGTGCCACTGTTTTACCTTAAGGTTTCTACAGTTCTTCTGTGTCTTGGCTTCCTCTCAAAGCTACTTTTAACATCGTGGGCTCTCCTATCTTTGTGCCACTGTCCAGAATTCCCCTCAGTTCTACCTTAAGTTTCTACAGTTCTTCTATGTCTTAGTATTAGCCCACATGGGTCTGGGGCTATAGTTTGGGCTAACTATGACTGTAGTTATAGTGTTATGTGGGTTATTTCTGTCCTCTGACAAAATTCCCACATCTTGTCATCCCATGTCCATTTGGGATGGTGCCTGATTCAAGGTACAAGCTATAGAGCCAACAGGGAGTTCTCTCACCCTCTCTATGCTTAGGAGAAAAGATGCTTTTAAAAATAGGAGTTAGCAACATGAGAACTGCTCAGAAGAACAGGATAAGCCCAATTATCCGGTGTTGCCGTTCAAACCTGCCCGTGCAGGTGAGATGAAGGAGAAGGCAGGGAAGAGGGAACTGCAAACCACAGAACAGCTCTATGAAACGTTCCAGGTTGGTACTTGGGTCATTTCTGGTGCCCAGTGTCCTCATGATAGCAGGGTGTATGGCCCTGCTGTGGAGAGATGTGTGTGACAGAGAGACCTCCCAAAGCTTCACCGCTTAGACTGCTTTTCACTGTGTAGGCTGCACTTTGTAGACTGCTTTTCACTAACTTGCAAGTCTCTTTCTCATTTCCAGCTGTCATCTTCTAAATGGACTCCAGTGAATTTTCGGGATCTATGGACCCACTGTCCTTGCCTGACAAACCACTTATTGGCGATCTCCCTGCTGACATGGAGTTTGGGGAAGATCTCCTGGGCTCCCAAACAGCTTCTACCCAAGAAGTTTCCGTTCTTCAGTCTCCTGGCTGGGATCAACCCAAGCAGATGACTGCAGATGGAGACTTGGACCTTCTAGTGAAAGCAGACAGCTTGTCTGAACTAAGCAAGCCAAATGATCTTCAACTAGATAAACCTACTGTCTTGGACATGCTGGAGAAACCTAGTGTCTTAGATGAGCTGGATAAAACTGCTGATTCGATGGAGCTAGATAAATCGGGGGATCTGGATGGGTTGTATAAGGCACATTCTTCCCAGGATGTGGAGGATGGGCCAGGGGACTCCTCTGCCCTCACTAAGGAAGCCCTTGTTCCCGAAACGTGGAAAGAAGGGGAAGATGCACCAAAAAGTGATTCTGGGGACATAAAGGATGATGGTGCTGCTGCTATTCCTGCACTGTCTGATGACCATGGCCCCGAATCACCCCCCCAGCCTGTTCCTGACCCAGATGAACTGAGCAGTGCCCCAGCCACAGATGAAACCACAGCACAGTCCTCAAACCTGCCCGTGTCCCCACCCCAGCTCAGTCTTAAACAGACCAAGAAGACCAGGTTGAAGATGCCAAGGAAGAGCTCACCGGGGCAGAGGGAAGGGCTGACAGCGGAGCCGAGGCCGGAGCGGAGCCCGGATCCCGGAGCATCAGCCTTGCCCGCTGAGCACACGGATGAAAACCGTGTGGAGGAAGAAGATGCTGGCAGGAACAACTCTCTGAAAGAGAGCAGCATGCTGAAGGCACAAGAGGCTTCACCACCAGCAGGTAGGTAGTTTTCTCTGCAGAACCCAGTTTCCTCTTGCTTGGTAGGTCACCCTGTTGCACCCTTGTAACGTTAGGGGCTATTTTCAGCTCCACATTTTCCCATTCTCCTCTGCCATGGAAATTGTCAGTACTGCTGATGGGTGTATAGGGAATTTTGCTCTGGATGCTGCTCCATTGGTGTGCACAAGCTCTCTTGCTCTGGCTTTCATATCTTTAACAGTGTGTTTCAATATTTGTGTCAGCTAGAAGCTTTCCTGCTCAAGCCGCTGCTGTATCAGATCACTCTCCTTTTCACTGGAGTCGTTGTGGGAACTGAGTATCACCATCAGAAGATGTTCCTGGTGGACAAGGACATGTGCCCAAGCTGGCTGACCTTTGGAGAGGTGCAGGCTTTGCAGTCGAATCCAATTGGAGGCACCATTGCAGCTTCTCAGCATCTCCCCAGACCCTTGAGACCCTCTAGGTCTCCCCCTCGGGGAACCTTCTCCCAGGCTCTGTGTGTGGCTCTCTAACTACAGTTGATGAGTTTCAAAGCTTTTGTGTGTTTGAACAGCAGCAGAGCTGTGCTCGTGAGCTGGGATTGAGGCTTCCGAGGCAGACAGGTCCAAAGAGTGGCTGTATCTGAGCAACATTGTTTCCGTTGGAGAAAATCCAGGTACTGGAGTCAAGCTTTCTTTTCCACTTCTGTTACAGGAGAAGACCTGCCTGGGAAGGGAAGTGATCAGGCAGCTGAGAAGGTGAGGAGGATGCAGCTCAGTATGTGCTCTGCAGGAGTACTGAGGTTGTGTTTCTGTCACCATACGTGGTGAGGGACCCTGGCTGTGTCTGTCCCTTTGCAGGGACATTTTGCATGTCTCCTGGGACAGTGGTTCCTTGCACTGCCACTGTGCTCTACCTGTGGCTTCAGTATGTCTCTCCCTGCCACCCCAGGCTGGAACCTCATTCTCATAAGCCTGCTTCACCCCTCTCTGCTCTGGTTAGGTGTCCATGGAATTTTAGCCCCTCTCAGCCTAACTACTGGGAAAGCAAAGCCCAAAAGTTGGAACTCCACCATGACCTTGGGTATTTATCTATGGTTGTCCCAGCAAATGGTTAGCTTAAGTGTTTTCTAAATGTCTTCTAGGAGCAGAAAAGAAGTGAACGAGCCAGAAGATCGGAAACTGCCAGGCCTGAAACTGTGAACTCCTCTGACAACAGTGAGTAACGAGCAGGAAAGCAGGGCCTGGGCCCAATGCGAGCAGGCAGTTTGTGATGCGAGTAGGATGGACGTAGGAATTCTTGAGCTTTTAGGCAGACTTTCTTGTGATGCAGGATAGGTCCCTTAACCCTTTTCATATCAGGGTTTTTGTCTTGCTTTCTCAGGGCACTTGGGATGAAGAGAGGGTTGGTAGTATTTTTACAGCTGTTTGTAGATATCGAGCACCAAACAGGTGAGAATCTGGGGGTGTTCCTATGAAATCCATCTTTCATTTCCTCAGACAGGAACTTTGTTCCTTTACCCCTATGCCAGCAGGCTGTCTGAAGGAGGGTTGTATTTTGGGGGCTTTCCTGACAAAGTACAGGAATTCCCTGTCCTGTGAGGTGTTGAGTGTCACACTGCCATTCCCTAGTACTTGTCTGTTGCTCCTTCATGTCTGCCTGCATCCTGTGCTGGAGAAGTGGCTGGTGAACTAGCTCATTCCCCTTAGGGTCTGTTGGTTCTCAGAGGGTTTCTGCTATAAATGTTCATGTTGCAGGCTTCTGCTCAATCTTCACTTCCTAGAGAAAAATACTGCCTAAGTATTTTAGTACTGACTAAGTCCAGTTTGCTTAAAGACTTCCTGGCTCATTTCCAATTCCAACAGAGTATCTTTTAACTATCCCCTTATCACTCCACCCAGGAAGGTACAAAGCATGTAGTAGGTATGCAGAAAGGTGACCCCAGAAAGCCCTACTGTGTTGCTCGTGACTAAAGTTTTGTCTCAGTCCCTAATGGGGAATTTCTGGAGCATCTATCTTATGAGGAAAGACTTAGTGAGCTGGGCCTGTTTAACCTAGAGAAGAGAAGATTGAGAGGAGACCTGATCAACATGTACAAGTACCTGAGGGGAGAATGTAGGGAGGATGGGGACAAACTCTTCTTGGTGGTGGCCGGTGACAGGACAAGGGCTAATGGGTACAAATTGAAACACAGGCAGTTCCACCTCCATGTGAGGAAGAACTTCTTTGCTGTGAGGCTGCCAGAGCCCTGGCACAGGCTGCCCAGAGAGGCTGTGGAGGCTCCTTCTCTGGAGATCTTCAACCCGCCTGGATGGCACCCTGTGTCCCTGCTCTGGGTGTCCCTGCTGGAGCAGGGATTGGACTAGATGATCTCTAGAGGTCCCTTCCAACCTCAACCCTTCTGTAATTCTGTGATCTTCTGCCTGTTCCTTTGCAGTTCCGGTCTCCGATGAAGACTCTGATGCGATGGTGGATGACCCTAATGACGAGGATTTTGTTCCCTTCCGTACCCGCCGCTCAACCCGTATGTCCTTACGCACTCAGATGGCTCAGCGAGCCGCCCGCTCCACTGTCACCAAGATGACTTGTGCCAACTGCCGGACCCCCCTGCAGAAAGGGCAGACTGCCTACCAGCGTAAGGGGCTCCCTCAGCTTTTCTGCTCCAGCTCCTGTCTCACTACGTTCTCGAAAAAACCACCTGGCAAGAAGATATGCGCCTTCTGTAAAAAGTGTGTGTTCGTTCCCCTTCCCTCAGCGTTTGTGACTGTCACTTGTTGATCCCTTTCACCTGCCCCCAAAGCCATACAATCCATGTGATCCTCATGCTTCCTCTTGAGGAATGTGATGTCTGCCACATCACTCCTGTCCTTCCCTATGCCTGTCTTCATGCACTGCATTCCCATCCTTCCTATTCTTGCTTCATATTATTGCCCTTCCCTGCGTGTTCCTAATGTCCGTTGTCCCTGCCTCCCTTCAGAGCAACCTCCTGCATGCTGCCCCTTTGGACACTGGCCTGCTGGATCAGACAGAAGCTTCTGCCACCTCCTTTCATTGAAGCCTTGCAGCCCATCCCTTCGCGGCAGGACTGACGTGTGCCTGAACTAATACATCCTTTCCTGATTCCTAGGGAGATCTGGAACACCAAGGACTCGGTGGTTGCCCAGATTGGGTCAGGCTCTTTCCATGAGTTCTGCACTTCTGTCTGCCTCTCTCTCTACGAGGCCCAGCAGCAGAGACCGGCCCCGCAGTCTGCAGATCCTTCGGACAGCAGCCGCTGCAGTGTCTGCCACAAACCTGGCGAGGTAAAAAAAAGTCCCTGTCTTTCCCTCGTCCAGGGAGAGGTGCTTGGCTCTGCCTGGGACCAATGCAGGGTGTTTTCCAGGTACTCTGCCCTGAGGCCTCAGCCCCTGAAGCACCTTGGGCTATCTGCCAGGTTCTCTCTTGTCCAGTATGATCCAACCCTCATTCCCCAAAATAAAACTTCAACTTCTCTCTACCCTGCAGCCAACAGCCTCCCGCTGCTCTGCTCTGCTGACATCTTTGCCGCTTTTGGGTGAGGGAGGCTGGGCTGAGTACACAGCAGCTTCCAGGAGAGCTCTTGCCCAGATTTTTTAACATACCAGCCCATCCTCCCAAGGCATGGAAGTGGCACATGTGCTTAGGAAGGAGCCCCATGGTGGTTTGAGGGAGTGACAGCAATGATGTCTCTGCAGATCCAGCACGAGGTCAGCAATGGGAGCGTGGTGCATCGCATCTGCAGTGATGCCTGCTTCACCAAGTTCCGGGCCACCAAGGGGCTGAAAACCAACTGCTGCGACAACTGTGGACTCTATATCTACAACAAGGGCTTGCCCCTGGAGTACCTCTTCCATGAAGGCCAGCAAAAACGTTTCTGCAACTCCACCTGTCTCAACAGTTACAAGAAGGTGTGTGAAGTCGGCTGCCTGGGTCAGGGAGGTCTCCGTGGCACACGTCCCCTTTGCTCACTGTGGCACAGGACACGGCAATGGTAGATACCACATCAGGTGGTATCAGGTCCTCCCAGCAGGAGGGCCACCCTGCGGTGGATGCAGTAATGGTGTGTGAGGCAGGCAGGGGATAGGATTTTGACGGGTGTGATGGGCTCCCTGACAGCTCTGTGCTGCTCTGCTTGCAGAAAAACACTCGGGTCTATCCATGCATGTGGTGCAAGACGCTGTGCAAGAACTTCGACATGCTGCCCAACGTGGATCGCAGTGGCAAGATGGGCCTGTTCTGCTCCATTTGCTGCACTACCTCCCACAAAGTGAAGCAGTCAGGCTTGGTTGGTAAGAGCACCCACGTCCAGGGATTCAGTGAGCTCTCCACTCTACCCTCCTCCTTTTGTGCTCTTGCTTGTGGTTTTGCCTGGAAGGAAGGCGTGCTGCTCACAGAGGAAGGTGTGTGGGGAGGTGTCCAGGGAGATAAGCGGAAAGATATTTGGAGCATCTTTGCAGCACGTAGCTTTTCTAATGCTGAGGGGTGGTGTCTGCTGGGAATGCAGGAAGTGGTTTGGTGCTGTGCTCTTCTGTCCTTGTCCTTTCTGCTTCATGGAGCACTGGGGTGCCCAGGAGTGGGAATGGTCCCTGCTGACCGGTGCAAGTATTGCGGGCTGTTTTGTCAAATTCTGTAGAGCCAGAGTCACTTTTTTGAGCCACTTTGCTCTCCATCCATGTATTTCTGTCCTAGCAGGACTTGGTGCTCTTAGTTTTCTGGTATTCTTGTCCTTTCCCTTCTGGTTGTAGCTTGACAGACTGCGGATGAGCGCGTAGCCTACATACCATCCTCAGAATCCAGTCCCACGTGCTGAGCTGCTGCCTAGACCCTGCAGCTTCTGCAGAAAGAGTTTATCTGAACCCTGCTATTACAACAAGACAGACCGCGTTGTCTACCAGTTCTGCAGTCCCAGTTGCTGGACCAAATTCCAGGTACTGAAATATCCGTCATGCTGGACTGGGCATTAGAACCTCCTGCCTCTCTTCACGCTTGGCAGCAGCTGCAGCTTCCTCAGGGAGGGTCCATAGGAAGGTCTGTGCTGCAGCACCTGAAATCCAGCGCTCTCCTCAGCTGGGATAAGTCTGGCTCTCATTCTTCCTTGCCTATCAGCTTGTACCCAGCAGGAGTGCTGTGCAGAGCTGTGTTGCATAAGTGGTTGCAGGGTATAATGGCCTTACATGGGCACAAGCCTCACAAAGCACAGTGGGCACCTGCTAGTGTGATGGAAAAGAGCAGAGCTGCTCTCTGTGCCAGGGATCACCAAGGACCAAAAATCTCCTAGAATATGTCTAGAAATTTAAATTCAACAGGCTCGGATACAGTTGCAGTACTTTGAGGGGTTTTGTTTGTTTGTTTGGGGAGGCTGTTTTTTGTTTTATTTTTTCTTTTTAAATCCTTGATAAAATTCTTTACTGAAGAGTTGTTACAGCTGTAGATCTTCCTAAGACACTTGAATCACTGCCGTGTAAAATCATCTCTGTAAAATATGAGAAAAGCCACGCACAACCTGGATTAGGAAACATCTTTGACAAATCTCAGGGCACAGTTGTGAAAGAGAAACCCTGGAGAGAGTATTTCAAGATGGTTTCTTGGGGATCAGCATTAAACCCCAAGAGTTCGACAGCTTCATCAGTGATCTGGAAATAAAGTCAGCATAAGTGTGCTAAAAATTTTGCAGACGAAACAAAAACTAGTGGAGTGTTAACTCATGCTGAGATATTGCTTGACGAGATGGGCTCTTTATACCAGGCATTTAAATACAGGTCAGTGTAAGATCCTCCATCAGCCTTACTCAAGTAATGTGGGGGTGTAAGGCACCTAAAGTAAGGATTTTGAAAAGGCTCTGGGATTAAAGCACATAAGCCAGTCAGCTTGAGCTCCCCATCTTAAAACTATAGCAGGAAAGATTAGTTAAATTATTGGAAGTACTAGCAGCAGAACAGGGAATTAAAGTTTGGGGGCCAGGGTAAAAAAGGACTACTCAGAATACTGCACAGATAGGATATTCGTCCACTTTATTTTTAATGTTGAAGAAAAAATTGGAAGTGTGTGGGGAAAAAAAAGACACAAATTACTTTGAGGCTTGAAAAATGCAGCGCACTTGCAGAACATCTCATCAGAGGTTATCAGAAAGAAAACCAAGAAGATGACTCTATTAATAAATCTATCACTGGGGACAAGACACCAAGTGCTAAATGGCACTCTAAACTAGCAGAGGAAGGTGAGATGAGAACAACTGCTTGAGTTCTGAAGTTATATTACCCTGAAATTAGAAACCAGGTGCATGTTCTTCAAGAGCTTTTAGAGAAAGTCTAAGGAAAGATAGTCCTTATCTCTGGGTTTCAAATCCAGAGAGCTGGCGGTCTGAAAGCTTGCTTTCCTGACAAGGCCTGAACCCAGTATCCCGCAAGCAAAGCGGAATCGCCCAAGCCGTTGTTATCCCGGAGCTTGGCACCGATCTCCAGGACCAACTCCGAGCCACTGATGGCAGAGCAAGGGCAGAGTGAGGGCTGTGAGCAGTGGAGGAGGCAGGAAGAGCCACCGCGGCTCCTCGAGCTCCCTACTTTCCATCCACTCACTGCCTTTGTATTCTGCAGCGCACGAGCCCAGAAGGTGGGATCCATCTCAACTGTCATTACTGCCACAATCTTTTCAGCGGGAAGCCGGAGATCCTAGACTGGCAGGTGAGGCCTTTTCTCCCAGGGGCGTGCTGAGGCTGAGAACAACCCTGGGGAGGACTGCAGAGCTTCTCTTTTTCCCAGTTTAAGAGCTAGAGCTTCTCCTGTGCCCTTGGTTAGAGCTTTTGAGCTATAGAGACATGGCTGGAAACCATGCCCTGAGCGTGCTGTCATGTTCAGCGGGAGGTCAGCAGGGCCAAGTCAGGGCAGGAGGAAACCACCTCTTCTGCTAAGTTGAATGCCAGGAGAGCTGGGGACTTGCAGACTGTCTCCTCAGCCCCGCAGTCCTGTTCCTGCTGCACCAGGGAGCCCTGGGACCTCTTGCCAGCTTGGCTGACCTGGTGGCGGTCTCTTTGGCAGGACAAAGTGTATCAGTTCTGCTGCAAGGACTGCTGCGAGGACTTCAAGCGGCTGCGTGGGGTAGTGTCTCAGTGTGAGCACTGCAAGCAGGAGAAGCTGCTGCATGAGAAGATCCGTTTCTCTGGGGTGGAGAAGAACTTCTGCAGCGAAGGTACTTGGGGAAGGCATGGGAGAGGCAGAGGCCCCCTGCCAGCCCCTGCTGGGGGAGGAGAAGAGAGCATGGAGTGGAACAGAGGGGAGACTGGCCAGGCCCTGGGGCAAGAGCCTCACCATGCAGTGAAGGGAGGATTGTCGTGGGGATGGCTTGCTGTCCAGCCAGGCCCTAGGGCAAGATCTTTACCGTTCATTGTGTCCTTGGGGAGGGCTTTCTCACAGCTTTTCTCTCTCTGGGGGCTGGGGAGACAGCAGGTGGCAGCTCCGCTCCTCCTGTCATCATGCACTTCTACGCTCTTGCGTCTGGGCTGGCCTGACCTGGCCTTGCCCTGCCTGCTGGGTTCCTGCACACAGGAGGTTGGAGTCAGACTCTTCCTAGAAGCATGGAGGTGAGAGATGGCAAGTCCCCATGAGGTCCCATCTTATCCCAGCCCCAGGGGCCAGTGCTGGATTGTTCCCTACAGTGTGTTGCGTGTGCTCTGTTGTCTCCGCAGACCTGGATTCTGGTCATGTTTGGGTCAGGGAGGCCCCCAGTTCATCCTGGGAAGGTTTCACTCCTATTGTTTCTCCGCAGGGTGTGTGCTTCTTTACAAACAGGATTTCACCAAGAACCTGGGCCTGTGCTGCATCACCTGCACCTACTGTTCTCAGACCTGCCAGCGGGCGGTCACCGAGCAGCTGGAGGGCAGCACCTGGGACTTCTGTAGTGAAGACTGCAAAAGCAAATACTTGCTCTGGTACTTCAAGGTCAGTATTGGCACTGGCAGCTTGTGCTAAGTGCTGTGGTGGGCTACGGCACCCAGATAAGTGGGCATTGCACTGACGAAGTTCGCGCTGCTGGAGTCTGGCTGGCACTGCTGCGGAGAACCTGGCACTGCTGGAGTCCTGCCTGGCAATGACGGGACACTGCTGCGGGGAAGCTCACGTAGCTGGAGTGCCCAGCTGACCCTGCCAGAGCACTGCACTGAGGAAGCTCACAGTGCTGGATCCGCGGCTAGTGCTGCTGTGAGAAGTTCGCACCGCTGGAGTCCCCGGCCGGCACTGGCAGGGCACTGCTGTGGGGAAGCTCACAGCACCTTGCCAGGTGCACCTCTCACCGGAGCGTTGTGTTGCACTCGGAGGGGGTCTGGTTAGTTACTCGTTGTTTCTCTCCTGCTGATGCGGGCTTTAGGCAGCTCGGTGCCATGCCTGCAAGCGTCAGGGGAAGCTGCTGGAAACCATCCACTGGCGAGGGCAAATCAAACACTTCTGCAACCAGCAGTGTCTGCTGCGATTTTACAATCAACAGAACCAGCCCAACCTGGACACGCAGAAGGGGCCCGAGAGCCTGCCGAACAGGAGATCTGCATAGCTCAGTCCAGGAGACGCAGGGAAGAGCGAACAGCGAGGGGTGGAAGCTTCCTGCCCGGGACTGGATGAGACGCTAGGGAACAATCCTGCACTGGCCCCTGGGGGGGGAAAGGACAGAATGGGACCTAATGGGGCTTCTCCATCTCTAACGTCTATGGTTCTATGACACACAGGGCCCAGACGGGAGGAGCCGGTGCCAGCGTGCTGCCTGTAGCTCACACTCTTAGCGAGGATACTCAGGGATTTAATGGGCGACTCCATCCTCATGTTGCCAGCGGAGAGCTCGATTTACAGGGTTAGGGGACAGCGTGGTTTGGCATGATAATCCACCTGCAGCCCCACACCACCTCCGAGCTGTGACCTTCTCAGATCTCATAAGCTATGCAGGATTGGGCCAGGTCAGTGCTTGGATGGGAAACATTCAAGGAAAACGCAGGGTGCTGCAGGAAGTGGTGCTGGTGATGCTGTAGGTGGGCTCTCAGTCAGAGCTGAACCTGTGATGATCTTGAGGGATCACTAAACTGCTGGAGGCACTCTGTTTTGTGATGGTGGATTGAAGTCCTACCATTTATCCAAAGATCCCTGGCAGCTTTGGGGAGTTGCTGACCCCTTGTCCCGGATAACCCAATTCTGCATCTGTGGAGTTCCAGCTGGAGAGGAGATTTTCACTGCCCGTTGCCTCATTTGCTATCATTAACCTGAGTTGTTTATGGAAGATGGCAAAGTGCTTTGGGATCCCTCAGGATGGAAGGTGCTCATAGTCACAGTGACAAGACATCGCTTGGCCCTCGGACATGCTCTTAGTCTCATTCTGCTTGGTCTTTCACAGGCCAGAATCTTCTAGACGATCTCATCTGGTTAAAAGATGTCCACAGCTTGTGGTGGGATTTGCTTTGGTGGCTCAAGCTGTGACAGATACTGGTGCTGCAAACTCAGGCTTTGCTGCCCTCCCTGCAGTTCCATGAAGTCAAAACCTGGCTAGGATGAACCAGGGAGGAAACCAAGAAAAGGACCTTCCATGCGAGACCTATTTCCAGTCTCCAGACCTTCTCTTTCCTCTCTCCTGACAGCAGTGGGCTAACTGCAAGATGGGGAAAGCACAGGATGTCAGGTCTGCTTAAAGAGAATATCTCCTGCTCATTGCTAGAAGCAGCAGGAGCCCTGGCCTCCCATCCAGGCGCCGTGTTGTGCAAATGCCATGAGTGACCTGGATAAAGAACTGCTGGTTTCTGCTGGCACTGGGTGCCCAGAGGGAGCGTGTTTGACAGGGCACGGTGTCTTGCTGCCCCAGTAGAGGAAGGTGTTACGCTTGTCTGTTACTGTAGCTATCCCAGTGATTCCATGGCCCTAGCCATGCTCTTGGATTTGTCTTTGCTTTCAAGGCATATCAAATCCGCAGAGCCTGTAGTGCTATTTTGGGGACACAAGCACATCAAAGAAGCCATTACCCACTGAAGGAAGCGTCTATTTCACATCATTGGCCATTGCCTTTTGGGAGCCATGGACCACAGAAGCCTCATAAGTACCTCCTCCACCATCACGGACCACAAAAATCCCCTGAGCACCCCCTTCCACCACATTTCTGGAGACAGCTGAGAGCTCTTCTGTCTAGCCCGTGGGGCATTCCCAGTCACTCTGCCAGTGAGGCCTTTGCTTGAGCCCGATGAGCCAGAGGACTTCGAGGGCAGCCGCAGCAATGCCCTGCTGCAGTGGTGAGTGCTTGGCTGAGCACAAACTTCAGGCTGCTCCAGAGCTGTGGAGCTCTCTAAAAGCAGCCCTGTGACCATTGCTAGTGGTGCAGGTGGCCTCGCTGGCACACTTGTCCCCTGGCTGTTGTGGGGTGGCTGTGGACATCCTTATCACAAGAGCTGTGACGTTCTGGTTGGCTTTCGGTGACCAGGAGCAGGGGCCTGCTGTGCGCTTGCACAGAGAGGTTTGAGAAGAGCTGTCCCTGAGGACCGTGCAGGGCATTTGCACCCCGTGCAGGGTCTCCTGGGGACCTGGCAGCAGGTTTGCCAGCTCACAGGGGCTGCTTGGCGCTCAGCCCTGTCTTGGGCACAGCTGCTGACCACCTCCTTCTTCTTTTGCTGCCAGTGTTTTCCTAAGATTGTTCATTCCAGTGACTGGCTGCTGCAAGTCTGGTGGTCCTGAGACTGCTTGCTGGTGATAAAAGTGGCAGATCCTTTAATGGGAACAGTGTCTATGTAACAAGAGGAGCTTCTGCTGCAGAACTGTCCCCAAAGACTGCCAAGAAGAACTGGCTTTGCCCAGGGCTGTGCAGCTGGAGAGGGGAGATGGTGAGAAGTCCATAGCTGGTGCAGATGATGCCTCAACAGCTCCTGGCTGGCTTTGGCATGAGAGCCAAGAACAAAGTGCAGCTTGGATGGAAGCCTGGATATGTAGCGCATGGAGGTTTGCAAGGAAGATCTTGCCCGCAGTCCCCGTGACTTGTGGGACACTGAATTTTTATTTTGATTCCACCGCAGCAGAGACTCTGCTCACACCCCCACAGCCTGTCTTTCCCCACTGGAGTCGTCGATGGCTTTTTTGCCCAGGCCAGCTGCCTGTCCACCCTGAGCTGGTCCTGGGGACGTCTTGGACCCACTGACAGAGCTGCAGATGCTGTAACTGAGTGCCCTGCTGCAGAGCTGGGGGCTTTCTTGGGCTGGCTCTTGTGTGTCCCATCCTCCCCCCAGAGCAGTCATCGAGTGAGTCCTGCTGTGCCTGTGCTCAAGGACTGTCCTGCATTTCCTCAGGAGGGAGGAAACCTGCATAGTACAAGTGTCTTTATGTTGCTCCTTCAGGAGTCTGGCTCTTACTAGAAGAAGAGCCTCTCACTAGGAGGTGTGGAGGGACCTGCCACTTCCTTTGGGTGCTGAGGCCTCCTGCTTTCTTTGCAGGTGTCTCCTTCGTGCTGTAGAAGGCAGTTCTTTCTCCCAGCCACATGGGTGATGAGGGCTCACAGGACCCTTAGATCAAGGTGCTCTTTTAATGCAGCAGCTTGTGTGAGCTGGGTGCAGGATCTCTGCAGACGGAGCCAGCGGGAATCGTCATCTGAGCCCAGACGATGCCATTTGCATGGGGACTAGGGTCTCTGCTATGCACGGCTTCTACCTGCTGGTGATCTGCCCTTTCCTTAGGGGAAATGGACTGTGGTGCCAGTGCAACGCTGTGTCTGTGCTTTCTGGGGTATCTCCTAGCACTACTACTTCCTCTGTCACCTTCTTCCTAGGGATCTCCAAGCACTTTGCCAGGATCTTTGTGGCAGGGACATGGAGGCACAGGGAGGGGCCATGGCTCGGTACAGCAAGCCACTAGACAGAGCTGGGAATAGAGCCCTGGATTCCCCTCTCTTAAGAGGGGCTGGGATTTTTCCTGACCTGCTGTCATAGGGGTGGGGTGGACAGTAGGGGAGCACAAAATGCTGCGGGAATGACTTGATTTTGGAGTTCTAGTATCTTCTGAGCTGTTAGGAATAGAGATTTGGGAATGACTTAACTGTTCCTGGAGTGATCCAGGAACAGTTTCTGGAGAGCCTGTCCCTGCCCTCTGGCCTGTGGCTGCTGCCACCTCCAGTCCCAGCAGTGGGACCTGTTAGCCCAGGACCTCTCTAACTAAGAGTCATTGTTTTTCTCTTGCAGGTCAGACTTCTGAGCCAAAACCGCCTGCCTCTTCCCCACAGAAGGCAGAGACTAACATGGTAAGGCCTGTTTGAGGTAGGAGTTCTCACGATAGCACAAAGGAGTGTCCCCAAAAGGGGTGTTTGCTGTTCCCCCAGGAGGTTTTGTTCTCCTGCAGCCTCGGTGTTTTAAAGATAGTGGTGGCCTGGGCAGTGGGAGCTGAGAGGGGCTGCCAAGGGGGCGAATAGCCATTTCCCAGGAGTTGGACATGAGCACCAGGGCAGTCTGCACAGTGCTCACCTGTGTCTGGGCATGGGGTCACTGCCCTCTGCACTCCTCTCTGTCCCATGGGGAGTGAGCAACCAGTGCCAGACTCCCTGCTGGCTGCCGAAGGGCTGCTGGCTGCCAGGAGCAGCTTGCTTGTCCTTTGGCCAAATCCAACTGTGGGAGGCCTGGGCAAGTCTCAGAGCAGAGTCTGGCCACTGGAGACTGTCTAAGGCCTGGGGGTGGCTCTATCTGCACCCACAGAAGGAAGGAAATGGTGCCGCCTCTCCTGACACCAACCTCTTGCTTTTGGGCTTCCTCAGTTGTCTGCAAAGACCTCCTCAGCCCAGATACCTCCAGCTGCGCCGCCTCCCCCGCCTCCTCCCATGCCAGCCACCCCTCGGAAGAACAAAGCTGCTATGTGCAAACCGCTGATGCAGAACCGGGGCGTTTCCTGCAAAATAGAAATGAAGTCCAAAGGATGTCAGACAGGTAGGGAGATAAGATGCATCTCTCATCTCCAGTTTACTGCTTCTGTTGAAGAGGCAGGCAGCACGTCCGTGCTCCAGACTGGATGTGAGTTCGCTTGGCATCAGACCGAGGAGCATCCAGGCATAGCAGTGTCCACACTGCAGGGCTAGATGTAGGGAGCTCTTT